TTATCCGAATGTTCAGGATCTAATTTTTTTATAAGAACATTACTTAAAATCGAAACATATAATACATTTGGTGATTTAGCTAGTATACTTCTAAGTTAAACATGCAGAGAAAAAAAGCATGGTAAAAAAGCATGGTAAAATCGTAATTAAAGAAATGTTTTTTCGTCTAATTTTAATAGACTATGCTTCTTTCTTTTTTTAAGGTAAAGCGGATTATAGGAGCAAATAGCATCAAATTTAGAAGAAGAAGAAAAACCTAATATTGTTTATTTTATATGAACATTTTCTCTTCCACAAATTATGTCATTCTCAATCATTTGAGAAGTTATTAAAATATATTATTGCTAAAGATGATATTGTTATAAACTTAAAAAAAAAAACAAAAGGTGAGATAATCAAATATATATGAAAATGTCGGTAGTTTATTTTTTGTTCACCTTTTTAAGATCATTATGCTGATTAACTTTATATCATTTTTTCCTAAAAATATTTATATAAATTATTCACGTATATTATGATTCAAAATTATAAATGACAGATTAATAACTATCATAATACTTTTTACGCTTTACTCCTTACATGTTAAAAATATTGTTCATTCATTTTTTTATTTATTAAATATATGTTTCCTTTATATTTTTTTCATTTGAAAATACCAATTCATGCAGTTAACTAACCTCTTAAATTAGTGAATATCGCCAGAAGCTTTGTCATTATAGTATTACTCAAAAGTTATGTTTAATTATTCACTAAGTACTGTTTTTTTCTTCATCATCCACTAAATACTCAAATAGTTTTTGAATAGAAAAGCAAATTATTAGCATCAGTATCACACAACACACATGTCCAAATTAGATTTCAAGTCACCTCAAAGCTCACCCATCCTCTCACTGAATAATGTGTTTACTTTAAAGATATATAAAACACACAAAATTATGTCATCACTTTATTTGCTACTATCATTCAAATTTGTCTTAGCTGGTTGGATTGGAGACTACTAGCAACTTAGCTGGAGTATTTGATACTTTTGTTATACATA